TCCAGCAGTGCTCAGGGCTGTGTCTGCCTCCAGGGTGTGGACTGTTTATTAACGGTGTGTTGCCTCCTCTGCTGACTTTACCACTCTGCAACTCTCAGAAAGGCAACAGTACCTGCGCACCTTCCCGTTAGGGGTTCTTAGCCTATCAGCGCTTTCTTCCCAGTCCATAAGCTGCATTTGGCTTCCGGTCCAACAAACTGGAGAATCCAGACACTCCAAGGCCCCAGTTCTCACCGCCTGACACTCACACCTTGGCCTCTGGGCCACAGGACATGGCTCCTTCACCAGGACTGAGGAGATGACAATTCTGTTAGTTTCTCCACCTTCGGGGCGATGAACTCTGTTCTCACTTGGCTCCTGGACTCTTACAGCTTCACCCTGTCCCTCCCCGTCCCAGCCACACTCAGCTCCATATATATCCTGGATTCTTAAGTCTCTCAACCATCAGCCAGAGTGCTCCACAACCTGACTCACACCTGCTATCTTTGTTTGGCTGCAGGGTTGCTAAGGAAACACACATACACAAATCACATGTATGTGCATGTGAATGCATTCACACACAGAGAGAGGCAAGAAACACACATCACAGACCAGCATTTTCTAACTAATCTATTAATTCAATCATGATGAATATTCAAAGCATTCTCCTCCATACTACTCATTTTTTCACTCATAATTAAAGCTTGGTCCAACAGATTTTTATTGATCATCCACTATGACCCCGAGACCAGGATTGAGCCTACCACGACTATCAAATGATTCCTACTCTTGTGGAACTAGCAGTCTTAAGACAGAGTGATGGGTAAAGCAGTTGACCTGGGTGAAATAGCCATGCATCACAGTGATTGCTGCTACACACAGCAGTTGTGCATACGGAAAATCCTAATGTGAGATTGAGGATGATTCCTGTGGTCTGGCTTGGGTAGCTAAGTGACAAGGCCACCACCCACTGTACCGAGCATGTGAGGAATGAGCACATTTGCTCTGGAGAGGCAGTAACAAGGCAGGGAAATCCTTCTCTGTCAGTGTGCTGAGGTGACAGCTCTACCGCATCATCACAGTCGTTTGAGGTTCCCATGCAATATCCTCACGGTGATGGCCCAAGTTTGAAGCTTAGAAGGAAAGACTGTGACAGGTCTGCACAGTAGAAACAACTGCAGATTATGTCCGGCGTCAAGGAAGAAGATGAAAATGAAAACACACCTCAAAAGACACATCATTGCATAAGCAGGCAGGGGAAGGGTTAAGAAAGAACAGGCAAGATGGCTCAGAGATTAAAGGTACCTCCTCACTTCCATACATATACCCTCCGACTTCCTGAATTGACACATGCACCTCCCCTAACACACACAACGACAAAATAAATATAAAATCATTTTTAATAAGCAAAGGGGGAAAAGCCAGAGAGAGAGAGAGAGAGAGAGAGAGAGAGAGAGAGAGAGAGAGAGAGAGAGAGAGGGAGAGAGAGAGAGAGTACTTGATCATTCCTTCCCCACAAATCTAAAGTAAAAACAGATTCCTCCCTGTATTATCCCTCTAGGTTACGAGGGAAAATTCATATTTTGTTCTGTGTCTTTGTCTTACTTTCTTACTTAGACTTATCTATCATCTATCTATCTATGCATCTATCTATCTATCTATCTATTTTTTATAGTGTTAGTGTTATGGGTAGAATGTCAAATGTTCTCAGAAGCATGTGTTCAACCACTTGGTCCCCGGACGGTGGCGCTGTTCTGGGAAGTTGCAGAACCATTGCTAGACTGGGTCTAGCTAAAGGAGGTAGTGGGCTGCCGGAGGTGGACTGGAAGGCTGAATCAGAGAGACACTGCCAGCCGCCATCAGGACAAGGAAGATGTAAAGTACCGGTAAGCCACAAGCCACGTGGCAAGGTATAGATTAATAGAAATGGATTAATTTAAGCTGTAAGAACAGTTAGCAAGAAGCCTGCCACGGCCATACAGTTTGAAACCAATATAAGTCTCTGTGTTTACTTGATCGGGTTTGAGCGGCTTGGGACTGGCGGGTGAGAGAGATTTGCCCTGACTGTGGGCCAGGCAGGAAAACTCCAGCAACAGTGGACCTTGAGGTCTCACAGTCTAGCCCCACTTCCTGGCAGAGGGCTCAATGTAAACAGATACCTTTAGTTCCCACCACATGCCTTCCCTGTCCTGATGGATTCGATCTTTCAAACTGTAAGCCAAACAAACCCTTCTGCCCTTCCTTAAGCTGTTTCTTGACAGGCATTTTGGTCATGGCAAGAGGCAGGGCAGGGCTTCAACCCAGGGTACCAGTACCTGCTAGGCAAGCACTCTATCACTGAGTCACATCCCCAACTTGGTACCTTTTACTAATCAAAGTTCTGTGGGAAAATCTACTGACCATAGCAATCTCATGTCTTATAAAAGTCACACACTTTTATGATTTTCTTGGGGGGGGTATTTTCTTAGGACAACAGCCAGATCTGGCTTTCAAAGTCTCAAAGATTAACTCTAATAATGCACTTAGAAGGATTGTCACTGGACTTAAGTGGCCAGCTATCCATCTGACCTTTCTTTAGCTAAGAAGTGTCAATGTATAAAAAGATGTCTGAGGCCAAGAGATGGTGGGGAGAGGAGGCAGTGATGTAGGGAGGAGACACGCTAAGTTTTATTGACCTTTATAAAACCTTTATGCTTTATTTTAGGTGATATTAAGAGTGAATCCAAGACTAATCACTTAAAGATTATTCTCATCTCCTTTATGGAAAACAGGTAAATTTTAATATGTGTGTGTGTGTGTGTGTGTGTGTGTGTGTGTGTGTGTGTGTGTTTTTTGCCTGTGTGTGTATATGTGAACCACATGTGTGCCTGGTGCCCACAGAGGTCAGAAGAGGGAGATGGACCCCTGGGAATTGGAGTTACTAATGGTTGTGATCCACCATGTGCGTGCTGGGAACCAAGCCCAGGTCCTCTGCAAGAGCAACAAGCCGTCTTAACCTCTAAGCCCTCTCTCCAGCCCAACTTCAGTGTATTTGAATATAGTTATTTGAACAAAATATGCTTTGAGCTAATGAGTTATAAGCATCTAAAGAAAATGTGTGTACCCAACTTTAGGTAGGGAGCCTGGGAGTTAAAATGTTCACATCTAGTCAACATTTCCTTTTATCCCAAAGCCATCTTGACTGTTTCATTGGAAATGACCATATTTGGCTCTATATGCGGAGATTTATGAAATAAGTTTAACCTCATTCCAGTCTGAAGAAATCAGAAGCTAAAGAGGTAGATATGATTATCTGATTCTCAGAAAGTCCCTTCAACTGAGCTCCATGCTTAGAATTTGCAAAGTGATGTCATGTGGTGCACGTAAGGACTGACACTTCTCAAGTCCTAGGACAGACATCTAAAGGAGGGAATGCTGCCTGAAGCTTGCTTTGACAGCCCCCAGAGGCTGCTGAATAATTCAGCAGAAATAAACTCTGTATTAGCTAGTTCCTACCCTGGAAGGTACAATTATCTTCATTAGCAAACAGCTCCTGCAGGCTTGATAATGAAGTGAAGAAAAAAAAAGTGTCTACAGGGCTCAAAGGCAAGAGCACTCTTAAGCAGAGCTGAGAGAAGGCTTCCTGGGAAGGTTTGCAAAAACACATTTTGGTAAGTCTTCAATTAGGAGTTCCAGCACTGTGAAGAATGGAAATTGCCAAGGGTTCTGCTAGCACCCACACCTAGTTCAAGAGGAAGGAGCAGAAACTAAAAGTCCATCTTCTCTCTACATTTGAAATTGAGGGACAAAGAGTGAGGGATTCTCAGAGAAAAGGGGGGGCCACTTGTGACTGTAGAAGTAACTCGGCTAGTTGAGCTAATTTTAGTGACAAACTGGTCTTGCCAGTTCCCTATCAGCTCTCTAGGCATAAAGGGTCTTCCACTACTGTAATATCAACCAGAAATAAACAAAGATGTCAATAAGCCGTGAAAAGTAAAACTTGTAAAGCCCCCATTAGCTAATGATTACGGCAAACACCTTTCTTTAGATGCTACACTGTGTTAATTCAAAATATATTTCTGCAGGTAACTAATGTAAATATATTCAAATACACTAAAATTTACCCGAGTGTTTTCCATAATACTTTACTTCTTACGTGCAACAGGGGATTTTTCCAACCTGTCCTGACTCCAGTGTCTGGATGCCCATATTCAGTTTCTGCTTTGCAGGAGTTCACTTAGCCAGGCCTGGTAGCACAGCTGTAATCACAGAGCTAGACAGCCAGGGTGAGGCAGGAGGATCTCAATCTGAGGTCAGCCTGGGTTACTAAGTGAGACTGTGTCTAAAAATAATGGTAATTATAATAACAATAGAATTCAATTTAACGTTTTACTCACTCTTGCAATAATACCGTTTTGATTTTTCACAGCTATCAGAGTCCTTAAGCGCTGGCCACTGCAGAAAGATTCATAAAGATTTTCTGATTTTATTCCTACAGCAGCTCAGCCCAATGTATTGGACGTTACCGACCGAGTTCAGCAGGTCAACGACCTGTCTCTTTGGCCCTGCTGTGTGGGCCTTCCACTGTCTCCACGCAGAGCCAGAAATGTTGCAAACCTGCTGGAAGGGGCCGCCGAGAAGAGGTGAGAGGCCTTTACAGGGACACTACTGAAGCCTGGCTCCCAACAGCAGGCCCCATGCCGCGTGGCCCGCGTGTCTCCCGGTCGCCACCTGCGCTCATTCCCGCATCGCCAGCCTTGCGATTCTGGGTTCCCCGAGTTCCGCTCCTTAGATCCTCTGTCCTGGGGTCTGGACCCCAGGCTAGTAACTAGGTTCTCCACTCTGATCCGGGAGGAGGAGGGGATCGGGAAGGAGACACGACGGGGCGGGGCCAGCCACCTAAGGTCCCCAGGAGGGGACGTCACGGCCCCAGGTGCGGAGGGCGGGAACTGGCTCGCACCTCCCCGCGGAGCGCATTCCCCACCTCCAGGCTGCGGGCCGGCCCCCCCCCCCCCCCCCCCCCCCCCCCCCCCCCCCCCCCCCGGCTACCCTTTCTGACCCGGCCACACCTGGAACCGCACCCCGGGCAGGGCTGAGGCGCAGAGGGGCGGCCACAGGAGGGACCTGGCCAGGAGGATCCGCCGGCGAGGCCCGGAGGCGAGGGCGCGGCGGAGCGAGGCGATGGCGCGGAGCCCGGGCGGCCGGTGCGTCCTGCTGCTGCTGGCGGTGGTAAGTGCAGTGACCCCCCTGCGCCCCAACCGAGAACACGCCCGGTGTCCTCCGCGGTGGGACAGCGCTGGGCCCGACCTGCGGCGAGCCGGGTGGGCAGAATTCACGCTCGATCACTCTCCCTTTGGCCGTCACACTCAGGCCCCAGTGACCTTTCCTAACTGTGATCTGTGGGTACGGTGAGCCCTGGGGCAGGGAAATCCCTTCTTGGGGGCTCCCGACTTTGTCTGGAGCCTTCTGGACTAGGAAACATGGAGGCGGTGGGAAGTCCCACGCGCACCCTTTTGCAAGTTCGCTAAAGTTCCCGCAGTTTCCCAGCTCTTGCAGCTCCTGCTGACAACGTCAGTGAACCGGGAAACCAGGAAAGACCTGAGTTCCTAGAGTGAAAAATGGCAACTAAAAATGCCTTCTTTAAAAGTGTTGTTTACAGGGCTTAAAGTTTTATTGTTACAGTGCTTTGGTCACTGGCCTGAACAGTTAGTACTTCCCCGGTATAAAACATATCTAATACTTTTTATAATTTAGAGGAAAATTGAAGCCACCATCATCAAATTGGGTTTTCAGAAATGGCCTTTTTAAAGAAAAGGGCTTTCCGCCTTAGAGGCAAGGTTCAGACCCAAGGTCTATGGTTTTGTTTGGTTTCTATGCTCAACTTGGATTTTAAATGGCTGTGTTCGTTCGTTCGTTTGTTAGCTAACAAAATTGCATATAATTTAGGAATGTCTGTGACTTTCAGAGATTTGCCAACTGGGTTTTAATCAAGTGTGGGATGATATCGAGGAGACTTCACAGATAGGTTCAGAGAGATTAGGTTCAGAGAGATTAGGTATACAAAATCATACCTTGTTTTCTTACATCATTATTGTAATTTTAAGAGCAAGTATTTTCATCCTATTGGAAATTCCTGCCTCTGAACAATGAATTTAGAGTAGTGGTGGTGGAGGGGAGGGAGGAGGGGGGGGTTGTAGTTAGAGAGAGAGAGAGAGAGAGAGAGAGAGAGAGAGAGAGAGAGAGAGAGAGAGAGAGAGAGAGAGAGATATCCTGGAATGACGATAGGGGTGTAGAAAACAGTAGTTTGGTTTGGTTGTCTTTTAAGGCAGACCAGAGAAAAGATGAGTAAATTCAATCCAAAGATTTCGATGAACTCACTTTCCATAGAGAGTTTGATAATGAGGAACTGCAGGCTGTAGGTACAGTCTGTTTTCATGCTGTTTGGTTTTGCTTTGCCTATGTTGTTGAGGTCATTTTTCATCAGATTTTTCTATGACATAATGTTGGGCTTTGTTTTTGGCCCAAGGAGTGACTTTATCCCTCACCTTGCTGCTTCCTAGCTAAGGGGAATTCCAAGCCAGCAGTTCTGGGCTCACCTGGAATGTTCAGTACAAATTCTCCCCCTATAAAGAAAAGAAAGTCTATGCAGTGTCCACATGGTATAGCAAGCAACCATTTCATAGGCTCGCAAAGGAACGGATAAGTTTAGACTTTCCATTTTAGCAGTCTACATATTTTTACTTTATTAGACAGGGATGGGCTACTCCTTTGGAAAGGAACAGAATTTTCGGACTAGTCTGTGTATTTCTAGAGTGCGTTTTGTGATATAAATCCGAAGGGGTGTGGTGACCTATGAAGAACAGTAGACAAACAAACAAAAAAGAACAGAAGACATTTTGGCATTCTGTTCTCAGTTTATGTGAGGTTGTGGGAAGCAGAAGCCGTGGATCCTTCAAAGGAAGGAGTGTAAGTTGTAGCCAGTTTGGTCAGTTCAGCTGCACATAACAGCATTTACGCTAGCCTGTTCCAGGAAAAAAAAATTAGGACTAGAGAGAGCTCAGCTGATGAAATGTTTACCCTGCAAGTAGGAGGTCCTGAGTTCAATTCCCACAACCCATGTAAGAAGTGCCGAGGGCAGAGGTGTACCCTTGTAATCCCAGGGCTGAGGAGGCAGAGGCAGGCAGACTCCCTGAGGTGTGATGGCTGGCTGGCCTAGCCTGCTTGGCAAGTTCCAGGTTTAGTGAAAGACCCTGTCTCCAAAGACAAAGTGGATGGCCCCTAAGGAACGACCCATGAAGTTAACCCCACACCTACACAAGTGTACACACACACACACCAACACACACACACCAACACATGTGCGCACACGCACAGGCACCCACATAAAAAGGGATTTATTTCAGAACATTGTAGTTTGAGTCCACCTGGAAAAAAGGATTGAAAAAACCTACAGTCATTTAAGCTGTTGGAATTTCAAAGTCACAGACCCAGCCACTTGGGAGCTGCCGCCTCACCTGTGAGCATGGGCCAGAGCCACAGGGTCACTTCCACAGTCTGGAGAACACTGTGAGTGGAATGTGTAAGGAGATATTTGTCTGTGTCTTGTCTCCGGCCACCCGTGGATCTAGAGACTAGACAGCAAAGGATGAATAAGACTGCCACAAAAACCCACCTCATCCACATCTGCGTACCAGGGAAGTAGCAGACATGCAGCCTCCCTCAAGAGTCATGGGAGTACAGGTGGAGCGTCCTCACCTAAAATGCTCCCAGACCCTAGGCTTTCTGAGCATGGTGGAGCGCAAAAGGTTTTGGATTTCAGAGCATTTCAGACTGGAGTTTTGTATTGGAGATGCTTTGTCAATAAAGTCTGCACATATATTGGTTTTGTTTAAAAAAAAAAAAACTGACATCTGATACATATCTGGTCCCAAGCATTTCAGTAAGGCCCATCTCAGAGTGGCTGAACCCACATGTTGAGCACTGAACCTGCCGAGGAGCCTTTAGTGGTCTTTGGCTTGCTCCTTCAGTGGCACACCACAAAGTAACTGTTGATTGTCACCCACATTTAGACCAACTCTGTCAAAATGAGAGAGTTTCCTGAATAAAACCCAAGAGGCTTCCTCTTCAAGTGTTCGTCTGGGATCCCTCCATCATAAAGTTCTCCACAGACAGAATTCAGGTGGTGTCTAGAAATTCAGGAACTTATTAAGTACATATTCCCAAATTTGGGGACTTATGTACAAATGTACTCCTAAATGTGGGGACTCGTGTACACATGTATTCCCAAATGCAGGGACTTACGTGCACATGTATTCCCACTATTCTCTAGCTGAGATTTCTCATTTGTCTAAGTTGTGGCGAGGTGACCACATTAGCAGACCTCGTGGCATTTTCACAGTATGGTTCAACATTTTAATGTATTAGTTATTTCAAAATACCATTTATTTTAAATATCACTAATAAACCCTAGTAGACTCTTTAAACTCATGTTTCAGTAGCAAAGTATGTGAAATTGCTATCACTTTTTTAGTTTATAAATTCTAAATTAATTTTAATATACTTGGGCTTATAATGCGATATGTTGTACACGTTTTAAAGCCATTCTAAGAGGGCAGACAACTGTGGTTTCAATAGGTGCCTCGATTTTGCCTTAACCGAGTTTGTGTTTTAAAAGTCAAACTCAATGCTATGGGTGCAAACCCACCAGTGTTCTGTGCGCTGATGTATTTAATAGCATATTCGTTCACCAGGCATATAAGAAAGTACTAAAACTGGGTGGCCTAAAACAACAGATGTTTACTGTCTCCCAGTTTTAGAGCTGGGAGACCCAGGATCAAGGTTGGCAGGGTCCTGTTCCCTGCGTCCCATCATGCCTCTTTCCAGCACTTGACAGCTGGCAGGCTGTCTTTGACAATCCTTCTCTGCAACACATCACTCTAGTCCACCCATCCTCACGTGGCAGCTTCTCTTGGTCACCTCTTGCTGTCTGCCATCCCCCTCTGTGTGTCTGTGTCCAGGTTTTAAGAGAACACCAGTTATCCTGAGTGAGGTCTAGCCCCAGGGGCTCAGGGAAATCTACATAGACCCTTGTTTCGAAATCATTAGCATTTCAACATCATCTTTTAGGGGATACAGTTTAACAAGTGGGCTCCACAAATTGCCAGCAATTAGATAATTATGCGTATACTATGCAACTAAATTGCACAGATTTGAGAATAAAGTACAAACAAACGCACAGTGAACATTGACACTCACAAGGATGATCAGATATTCGTGAATTTCGAAAAGCACATCTCATGTGTTTTGGTTTCTAAAAATTAGTAAATGGGGAAATGCCAACAGCTTTTTTTTATTATAAATTTAAGTCAAAGTACTTTACCTGGAAAATGAGGCTATGCCCGTCTAAATTCTCCCTTATGGTGAGGGATTCTTAAGTTGAACTCAAGTCTCTAAGGCTGGGGTCCAGAAAGATGTATTTACAGAAACTCCAGTTGATCCTAGTGTAAGAGTGAGAATTACTGTCTACATTTTCCAAAATAGTGGTAATAATAGTTCCACACGGGGGAACTATCATTACACATTCGAGCCGGGTATGGTGGTACACATCCATAATCCCAGCACTTAGGAGGCCAAGGCAATAGAGTCATGAGTTCCAGGCTCCCGTGGGCTACATTTTAAGTTCCAAACCAGCCTAAACCAGTTCCAAACTACACAACTAAACTAGACCCTGTCTTAAAAAAAAAGTCAGATGTAGATTGATATTTTTTCTTCAAAAATAGTTGTGTGTGTGTGTGTGTGTGTGTGAAAATGTATACCATAGTGGAAATCAGAGGACATCTTCAAGCCTTCTCTCCTACCATGTGTGGCGGGATCAAACTGAGAACGCTGGGCTTGCGTCAAACACCTGCTCCACCGCTGGACCATCATACTGGCTCCTGAGTTGGTATTTTTTAAAAAGATCAAATTCTATTAAAAATAGTCCTTAGAGATTTATTTTTATTTATTTATTTATTTATTTTGGTTTTTCGAGACAGAGTTTCTCTGTGTAGCATTGCGCCTTTCCTGGATCTCGCTCTGTAGACCAGGCTGGCCTCGAACTCACAAAGATCCGCCTGCCTCTGCCTCCCAAGTGCTGAGATTAAAGGCGTGCGCCACCACCGCCCGGCGAGATTTATTTATTTTGTGTATGAGTGTTGTGTCTTCATGTATGTAAGCACACTACATGCATA